CCCCCCCCCCGCGCGCGCGCGCGCGCACGCCATGCGGGCCCTGCGCACAGCCTCGTACAAGGCCCCGGGGGAGCTGCACGCGGCGCTCGATCGCCCTGGCCACTACCCCCACCTCCACACGGGGCCCCCTTCGGCCGGCCCAGGTGGCTACAGCTCGCCCGACCTGCTGAGCTCCTCCCCCATGCCGGATGAGTTTGACGACGCCCCGGAGGCGGAGCTGCTGATGTTCCATGCCGCCATGCCGCCCGGCGGGGGAGGCACGGTGTATCGGCGTCTCAGCGGGGCCGCCGGTTCCGGGGGCCGGGCCCTGCGCGCCACCCCGGACATCGCCGGGCCCGGGGGGACCCCCTCGCCGCGGTGGCTGCCGCACCGGGACCACTCGGGCGGTGGCCCGCTCGGCGCCTCGCCCTCCGGCGGGTGGGTCACTCCGCCCGGGGCCGGCGGGGCCGGGCCCTCGCCCGTGTCGCCCCCCCGGGCGGCGGCCTTCCAGCCACGGCACCGGCGCTCCTTCAGCGGCGTGGCGGCGGTCAATGCCGACCCGGCTGACGGGAGCGCCGGCCACCTGGCCGGCTCGCGTGTGCACCGGTGGCGGCCCAAGATGGCTCCCCCGGCCACCGGGGCCGGCATCGGCCCGTACGCCGACGAGCATTCGGTCCCGCGGCCGACCGGCGGCCCGCTTGGGGGCATGCGCCCCGGTGGCAGCGGCAGCGGCAGCGGCAGCGGCAGCGGCAGCGGCAGCGGCAGCGGCACTGGCGGCGGCGGCGGCGGCAGCAGCATCGCCATCAGCAGCAGCAGCAGCAGCAGCAGCAGCAGCGCCGGTGCCACGGCCCCCGGCTCGAGTGGTGGCGCCGGCCCTGGGCACTTTGGCTCGGCCCCGGCCGGGTACCATGCCCACTCGGCTGGCGGGCTGGCGGCGGTCCTGGCCTCGGGCCCCTCGCCCGGGGCCATGTCCTCCCCGGCGGAGGAGGACCCGGCCGGGCATCATCCCCATCATCATCATCATCATCATCATCATGTGCACCATGCCCCGCCCTCGGGCGGGGTGGTGCCGCGGCGGACGCGCCCGCTGTCCGGCCCGAGCGCCGGGTTCCATTCGCGCGTTCGGAGTGGGGCCTTCTCCTCGGGCGGCAGCAGCGCCGGCCCCGGCACCCCGGTGGACCTCTTTGCCGGCGGGGGCCCCGGTCCGGGCTCCTGCAGCGGCGGTGACAGCAGCAGCAGCAGCTCCTCCACCCCCATCCCCGGGTCCATGGGCCCCGGGCCCGGGGCCGGGGCTGCCTCCGGCACCGGGACCCCCCTGTCCGAGCAGATTGCCCAATTCTCCCTGCACCCGCAGTCGGGCGGCGGGCCGGCCGGCGCGTCGTCGAGCCTGGCCTCCCGCCGGCGGTCCTCCTCCCTGGCGTCGCTGTCCTTCCAGCACTCCAAGTCCCGCAGCATGTCCCTGTCGTCGCACCACCCGCGCGAGTCCAGCGGCGGCGGCCCCGGCCCGGGCCCGGTTCTCTCGCCGCCCCCCTCCTCGACCGGTCCGCTGGGCCATGCGCCGTCCTCCCAGCAGCACTACCACCTGCAGCAGCAGCAGCAGCAGCAGCAGCAGGCCCAGTCGCAACCCTTCCACGCGCACCACCAGCACCTCCACCAGCTCCAGACGCAACAACACCCCCTCCTGTCGCAACAGCAGCAGCAGCAGCAGCAGCACCTTCACCAGTTCCACCAGCAGCCGCAGCCGCAGCAGCAACAACATCACCACCAGCACCACCTGGGGAGCGGCCTGCATTCGGCCCTGTCGGCCTCGGTCCCGGAGCTTTCCATGTCGCCCCCCTCGCCGGGGGGCAACGCCTTCCCCTCGCACCTGCCGCATGGGGGCTTCCCCGGGGCCGACCCGCATGAGCCGGGCCACTTCCAGTAGCGCATGCGCGCGGGGGGCTGGGGCGGGGGGGGGGCCCTGTCCGGTGGGGCGGCCACCTGGCCAGCCGCCGCGACTGTCGCTCTTCTCCCTTGCCTTCCCGGGAAAATACACCCTTTCGCCCTCGACTGCTCTGCTTCACGTGTGTGGGGGGGGCGGAGGGAAGCGTGCGTGCGCTCGTGCGCATGCGCCGCCAGCCGCGTGTGCCTGGGGCCGTGTGAGTCTCCTGCGCGCGGGCGTGGGTCCGCGTCTGGCGACCGGGGGGCCGCGCCGCCCGGCGCCCGGCGGCCGTGGCGAAACATTTGAAGGCCAGACGGGCCCCGACACGTACCATAGCTCAGTCGGTAGTAGCGTGGGATTCATAACCCCAAGGTCGTGAGTTCGAGCCTCACTGGTCCCAGGATTCTTTCCTTTTTGCACGCACCGCTCACCAAAAACCGTTACAATCGCCCGGGGGGGGGGGGTATTTTTGAAAAGCCATCCCGCGCGCCAGTCATCTTCCCCCGCCCCGTGCCGGGGAAAGGAAGCCCGGGGGAGCCCTGTGCACCCGGGCGGAGTGGGAGGGGCGGGGGACGCGAAAAGGACACGCACAGAGACACCCCCGCCCTCCGGCCGTGTGTCTCTCTCTGCCCAAACCCCGGGGGCAGTGGGAGGGCCGGCGCCGGTGGGGGGAGGGGGGGGGGGAGGGGGGATAAAGTCCATTGGCTGCTGACACGCCCAGCCCCGAGCGCAGATCTAGCACACGGGCGGGCGCCCGCACGCCGACGCCCGCGTCCCCCCCCCCCCCCCCCCCCCCCCCCCCCCCCCCCCCCCCCCCCCCCCCCCCCCCCCCCCCCCCCCCCCCCGGCCGGGCGGCATCCGGCCCCCCGGGCGCGGGGTGCCCCAGTCACACACGGCGCCCGCCGCCCCTGGCACATGGCATACAGAAGACGCGCGGCCTCGGCCGGGGACCGCTGCCACTCGGGCCGCCACCCCCTTCGCCTCGTCCTCCCTCCCCCCCCCCCTCGCCTCGCCTCGCCTCGCCTCGCCTCGCCTCGCCTCGCCTCCCCTGCTTGCCTGATCGCCCGTGGCTCCCCCGTCGGCTCCGACCGCTCGCCTCGCCAATTTCCGCGCTCGCCTCGCTCGCTCGCTCGCCCGCTCGCGCCCCCGCATCCCTCGGCCGGTTGTCATGGAGGCCCTCCATGACAGGACCTTGAGCCTCTTCTCGCAGCCGGAAACCGATCTCAACTGGCAGCAGCAGCATGACAACTTGAACGCCTGGGCCGACCTCCTGGAGAGTCACCCCGCACGGAGGGGGCCCCTCCGGGAGTCGGACGCCGTGGCGGCCGCGGCCAGCCGGCTGCCCCCGCCGCTGGCGGTCCAAATGCTGGTGGCCACGGAGGCCCTGCTGCTGGATGGCCGGGTGCATGCCGGCGCGCCGCAACCGGACGATGGCGACCCGGCCGGCCCGGGGGCCGACTCGCCCGGGGCCCTGGCGCGCCTTGTGCGCCTGGCCGAGGTGGCCATCCTGTGCGCGGTGGCCGCGGTGCGTTCGCCATCCGCCCCTTTGCCTCCCCCCCCGCCCCCGCCACACCCTGGCATGCCCACTGACCCGTCGGAGCCATGCCGGGCTGCCTTGCGTCTGTCACGCCGCTGGCGCCGCCATCCGCACGCATGTGCGTGTGTGTGTGTGTGTGTGTGCGCGTCTCTGCCTATCCGGCCTACGACAGATGAAAAGCGAACGCAGCCGCATGCTGACGGCGGCCTGTCGCCTGTTCCAGGTGTACGCGGAGACCGTGCATCCGGGCATCTTCGAGCGCGTGCGCGAAGACATCATCCGGGTGCTGCTTCACTCCTGCGGCCGTGTGAACCGCGTACGTGCGCCCCTAGCCGGGACTCCCTCTCTCTTTCCGTCCTCCTCTCTGCCTCTCTCTCTCTCTCTCTCGCACACACTGACACACATGCACACCGTGCATGCATGCCCATCGCTCGCCCGCTGCTACAGGTGTTTGTCCTTCGGTCGTCGGCTGCCCTGGCCAACACGATCCGGCACTCCGGGCTCCCGTCAATCCTGCACCAGCTGTGCACCATGCCGCCGTCGCGGATCCCCCTGCAGCGTGAGTATGTGGCCCGGTATGTGCTCATTTTCCCCCTCCTATGCGCATATGCTAGCCACACACACGCACACACACACACACACACACACACACACACACACACACACACACACACAAGCCCCTATGCGCGGACCGCGATCCTGACACGCTTGGCTCGCCCCTGCGCCCTCGGCCCCACGGTAGATCCGTCTCCCAGTGCCTGGAGCAGATGCCTCTGGCTGACCTGCAGCCTCACCTCCCGCATGTTGTGACGCTGCTGCCCACGGTGCGTGTGTGCTTCCCCGTGATACTTCGCCCCATGCGACGCCCGCGCTAAACCTCTCTCTCTCTCTCTCTCTGCTTGTACCCCCCTTTCCCCTGGCTCTGGACCATGGACTCCGACCGCGCAGCTGCTCACCGACGCCACCCAGCCGGTCCGCAAGGCGGCGCAGCATGCCTTCGTCTGCCTCCATCGGCGGTCGTCCTCACATGCGCGAGAGTGCGTTCGAGCCCGACCTCCCCCTCCCCCTCCATGTCGCGATTGCCGGCCCGGCCTTTTGTCGCACGGCTCGCCCCACCGACTCGCCACTGACGCCCACGCCCGGCGCCATGGGCTCCCTGCTCCAGCCTTCTCGAGCGCCTGCCCGCACGCCAGCAGCGCCTCTTGCTGGAGCTGACCGACTCGAGCAGCACGGCGGCCGGTCCCGGCGGCCGTGCTGCCCACCTGGCCACCGAGGTCCCCGGCCGGGGCCCCTCCCGCGGGCCTGCCCCTGTCACAGCTGCCCCCGGGCAGAGCATGCGCGATCGCATCGCCGAGGCCCGGCGCCAGGCGGCTGCCATGGCCCCCGGCGCCCCCACTCCCACTCGGTCCACTGATGCGGACGCCCGGTTCCCGATTGTGTCCTTCCTGCTGCCGGATCCCCCGCCCAGCTTCCGCCTCGGTGCCGGCCTCACGGGGACGTTGGTTGCCCCGGCCCCGGCCCCGGCCCCGGCCCCGGCAGCGGCCTCGATCCCAGCCTCGGTCGCGGCTCCGGGTCCGGGCCTGACCCGGGCTCCGACCCCGCCCCTGACCCCGGGTCCGGCTCCGGGTCCGGCTCCGGGTCCGGCTTCGGCGCCGGCGCCGGCGCCGTCCTCCTTGTCGACCCCGGTGCTGGGGCTTCCCGGTTTCGGTGGCCGAGGCCAAGTCCCGGCGGCTGACGTCCTGTCGGAGCGCCCGGCGGCCGTGGACACCGGGCCCCTGCGGCGACCGGCGGCCCCCCCGGGCGGGCGTGTCCCCCTGCTGGCAATGCCAAGCGGGGATATGCCGGCCGGTGGCGGCCACAATCCGCTCAGCTCGCTGGCGTTGCAGCCTCCGCCTGCCCTCCTTTTCATGGGTGGCCTCGGGGCGCCGGCTGATGTGCGGCCCAGCTCAAGCCCCACCGATTGCTGGCCTGCCACCGGTGAGCTTGGTGCCGGTGTGACGACACTCGAGGCTCCTGGGCCGACTGCGGCCGGGCTCGAGCCGCCCGACCGGCCTGCCAAGCAGCTTGACTCGTCGGCCGGGCCTGCCACGGCCGACCAGCCCGCCGCCTCGGCTGGCGGCACTCCCCCCAGGCCCGTTGGGCTCGCGGCGCCTGCTGCGCTGGTCGGCCGGCGGGCTTCCTTTGCCGAGGAGGTGCCAGCTTCCTCGGCCCATGCTTCCATGGCGCCGGGTCAGCCAGCCGCCCCGAGGGAGGCCCTCCCCCCGGCCGATCACCACCAGCATGCCCCGGACGCCGGCCAGGGCCACATGGTGGACGAGCCGCCGGCCGTGCACGACCACCTCGCCAGCTCGTCCGCCTGCCCGCCGGCCCGCCGGCCCGGCCCGGTGGACAGCCTGCCAGGGCTGACGCTCGAGGACTTGGCTGGTGCGGGCGATCCGACCGAGGAGCCCGGCGCCGGTGGCTCCAAACCGACGGAGCTCGAGGCGCCGGGGCTCGAGTCCAGCACACGGCCCACCTGCCAGCCGGACACCGCCGACTCCCGGGCCCTTGCCCCCGAGCCGGCGGGCAGTCCCCCCCGGACAAGCCCCCCTCTGGAGGATGCCCCGGCGGAGGGGGGTACCCTGCCGCGGGACGGCTCGGCCGCCGGGGATCCCCCTCCCCCCGTGGCCCCGGGGCCGGCCCCCGCCGCCCAGCAGGGCAGTACCATGTCGCAGGTCGCGGCCCGGGCGGCTGCTGCTCCTCCCTCCTCCTCTCCCCCTCCTCCTCCTCCTCCTCCTCAGAATGAGCAGCCCCTCGTGGTGGGGGCCGTCGCCACCGCGGCTGCCATGCCGCCGGGCCGATCTGTGCGCCTTGCCACCGGCGCCCCGGCCACCCGGCCATCGGCCAACCCTGCGAGTCGGCCACTGAACGCTCGGCCGCTGGGCACCCCCCCGGGCCGGCCGCTCGGCACGCCCCGGATGCCTGCAGCCGGTCGGGCGCCCGGGACCCCTTCGCCGGGGCTGAAGCGGCCGCACCCCGGCCCCGCCGCCACCCCCTCACCGGGGTCGAAGCGGCCGTGTCCCAGTCCCCATGCCGCCACCCCCTCGCCGGGGCTGAAGCGGCCCTCCCCCAGCCCCATTACCACCCCCTCGCCCGGGGCAGAGCGGCTGCGCCCCCCGGGCCACGCCCCGGCCCTTGGGACCCCGTCGCCAAGCGCGCGCGCCGGGCCAGCCGCTGTGCCCCCCACCGGGGCCACCCCCTCGCCGCCCGGGGGGCTGAGCCCGGCTCTGCTGGCTCGCCGAGCCGCGCGCCTGGCCAACGTCGGCCTCCTGACCCCGACCGTGGCCTCCTTGGGCAAGGCTCGGCCGCGCATCAGCCCCACGACCAAACCACCAGCCGACCGGCCGGGCTCGCGGCGGTGACCCCCTCCGGCGCCCACCACCGCCCCGGCCGCATCAGGGAAAAATACAGTAGACTGACTCTTGGACCGACCGGTGCTGATCTTCGGGGGTGTGTGTGGCGGGGGGGGGGGGGGGGGGGGGGGGGGGGGGGGGGGGGGGGGGGGGGGGGGGGGGGGGGGGGCGGGGGGGGGGGGGGGGGGGGAGGGGGGGGGGGGGGGGGGGGGGGGGGGAAGGGGGAGAGAGAGAGAGAGAGAGAGCAGGCGGGCAGGCGGGGGGGGGGGGGCTCCGTGCCGCAGGAGGCCGGGCGGACCAAGCGGCCTGGAAACACCGGGCGGCAGATGCCGGCTGCTTGAGGGACAGGGGGGAGGGG